CAAATTTCAATTCCTTTATCAATGAACTTAGCCAAGCAGCTTGGCAAGTTGCTTCACAGGCTGAAACATATTCAGCCTCACATGATGAGAGTGCTACAACTGATTCCTTCTTCGAAACCCATGATATTGGTGCTTCTCCTAGAAAGAAAATATATCTTGTTGTGCTTTTCCTGTCACTTTTGTCACCACACCAATCAGCATCAGCAAATGCAATAATCTTCAGATTCTCACCTTGTTTCACCTTAGGTAGCAAAATTTCAAAACCATGTGTCCCTTGTACATAGCGTAAAACACGTTTTGCTGCATTTAGATGTGACACCCTTGGACTCTGCATAAATCTGCTGATAAGTCCCACACTATAACACATATCAGGCCTGGTATTACAAAGATACCTTAGGCATCCTACAATCTTCCTGTACTCAGTTGGATCTACAGCTTCTTCTTCTGGTTCCTTTTCCAGTTTTAACCCCACCTCTGCTGGTGTGCTAGCAGCATTGCACATATGCATCTCTAGCTTCTTCAACATATCATTCGCATAGCGAGATTGATGCATTACCAATCCTTCCTCAGTTTCTATAAATTCAATACCTAGGAAGTAACTCAACCTTCCTAAGTCACTCATCTCAAACTCACGCAACATCTTGACTTTAAACTCTTGTATCAACACATCACTGTTGCCTATTACCAGTAAGTCGTCTACATAGAGACAGACTATGAGCTTTCCTATTTGATTAACCTGCACATAGACACCATGTTCAGAGATATATTTATCAAACCCGATACTGCTCATGAACGCATCTATTCTTTGGTTCCAAGCTCTCGGAGCTTGTTTGAGCCCATATAGAGCTTTGTTTAATTTATACACCATATGCTGCTGCTCCTTTTTTTCAAACCCTTGAGGTTGCATTACATATACTTCTTCTTTTAACTTTCCATTTAAAAAAGCTGATTTTACATCCAACTGATGTAAACTCCAGTGTAACTGAGTTGCAATTGACACCACCCGTCTAATGGTCTCAATCCTGGCAACAGGTGCATACACTTCACCATAATTAACTCCAGCCTTTTGTAGAAAACCCTTTGCCACCAACCTGGCTTTGTATCTGATTATAACACCTTGTGGTTAACTTTAGTCTTGTACACCCACTTTAAAGCTATTAGCTTCTTCCTTCCAGGAAACTCAATTAATTCCCATGTTTGGTTCTTCTCGATTGACTCAATTTCTTCCACCATTGCCTTTCTCCACCTTTCATCGGTTATTGCTTGATCAAACTCAACAGGTTCAGATTCTGCTATGAGTGCATAGTGAACGAAGTTACCTTCAGTCGTGACAGTGACATCATAAAACAACTCATAATCTCTCAGGTGTGCTGGCATTTGAACATTTCGTGAGGATCTTCTCAGTCTCTCACCATGTTGCTCACTGTTTGAAGCAGATTCATGAGAAGCTAGCTCATCCTCAAGCACAATTGTAGATTCTCCTTGTTGAACTGTCTTCCAGTTCCATGTACTCCCTTCATCCACTACCACATCCCTGCTAACAGTTACCTGACTTATTTCAGGATTGAACAACTTATAACCACCAGTTTCATGGTAACCAACTAGAATGAATGGTATGCTTTTATCATTTAACTTCTTTCTCAGCTCATCTGGAACATGTTTGTAACAAATTGCACCAAAAACTCTCAAGTGTTTAACACTTGGTTTTACCCCAGTCCACGCTTCTTCTGGTGTGATCTCCTTCAATCTTTTGGTAGGTGTTCTGTTTAGAATATACGTGGCTGTCATCACAGCCTCACCCCATAATGACTTTGGCAAGCTTTTGCTCTTCAACATACACCTCACCATATTTAGTATGGTCTGATTCTTTCTCTTAGTTGTTCCATTATGCTGTGGTGTATATGGAGGAGTCTTCTCGTGTATGATGCCTTCATCTTCACAAAATTTGTAAAACTCATGTGAAGCGTACTCCCCTCCTCCATCGGTTCTTAAAAGCTTCAACTTGCAATTACTCTGCCTTTCAATCATGTGCTTAAATTTTTTAAACACCTCCAGCACTTCACTCTTCCTTTTTAGCAGATATGACCAAGTTTTTCGGGTCCAATCATCAATAAACACCACAAAGTACTTGCTGCCTCCTGGAGTTTCTACTTGGATTGGCCCACATACATCAGAGTGAACCAACTCCAACTTCTCTTTTGACTTCAAAGGTAGCAATTTTTGGAAACTCCCACGCGTTTGCTTGCATTCCACACACTCCTTACATACTGAGGTTGGTATATTAACCAAAGGCAGCCCCGTAACCATTCTGCAATGACTGAGTTTGGACAAGTCACGAAAATTAAGATGTCCAAACCGCAAGTGCCATAACCATTCTGAGGCATTTTCTGTTGCAGCGAAACATTGATGCTTTACAACATTCATTACCACACGAAATGTCCTATTTTGGGACAGATTAGCTTTTATCACAAGCTTCCTATTCTGATCAAATATGCTGAGACACCTATCCTCCATTGTCATCACAAAACCCTTCTGTAGAAGTTGACCAAGACTTAACAAGTTAGTCTTTAATCTTGGCACGTATAATACCTCCTCAATCACAACCTCTCTTCCATCATCACCCCGTAACACTACCCTGCCAGACCCCTCTGCATTAAGGCTCCTGTCATCAGCAAATTTTATCCTCCCATGGGTTACTTCCTTTATTTTGACAAACCATTCTTTGTTGCCTGTCATGTGGGTTGAGCAACCCGAATCTAGGTACCACGATGCTTCTTCAGGTTTATCAACATCAATTCTGGTCATCAACATTACTACTTCAGAATCTGACATATCATATTGGGCTAGGTTAGCATGATTCTTCTGTTTACTCTTTGCTCCATCACCCTTCCAACATTCTTTAGCAAAATGGCCAAACTTTTGGCAGTTATAGCATATAACCTTCTTCTTGTCAAATTTCCACTCCTTTTCTCCATCAAGATTGGTGCAAGACTTGTGGTTCTTGTGTTTGACAACATCAACTTCATTGCCTTCTTTCTACTCTTGCGCATCTTTCTGTTTTGAACTACCTTTACCAGCGTGCTTCAACCCCTTTCTTTTTCCTTTATATTGAGAACGTGCCTGCAAGACTTGTTCTTGACAGTGTCTTCTCTCATTCATTCTGTACTCATGAGCTTCCAGGGAGTGTTGTAATTCTTCCAACTCCATTGCTTCAAGATCGCGTGTTTCTTCGATTGCTACCACCACATGATCGAAACGTTGGGGCAGTGTTCTTAATATCTTGTCTACTACATACTGATCTGAGACATTAGCTTTGCATGAACGCATTGTATTAACATGCTCTTGCACTTTATCAAAGTACTCGGCCATAGTTTCACTCTCATCCATGATCAAGAACTCAAATTGTCTCCGCAAGGTTTGTAATCTCACCTTTTTATTCTTGTCTCCGTCACCATAGGTTTTCATCAGAATCTCCCAGATATCCTTAGCAGTGGTTGCTTTTGAGACTTTGTTAAAGATCTTTGAAGTGACACATTGATAAATCAAGAAACGCGCTTTACTATCTAATTTCTGTTGAGCTTTCAACATTCTCTTTTCTTCATCAGTGACCTTTTCTCCTAGTTCCATCACTCCTTCACTCACGATATCTGCAACATCTTGGAAACCAAAAATGGCTTGCATTTTGATACGCCAATCATCGAATAACTTGCCGTCAAACATCGGCAGAGGTCCTTGTACCATTCCTCCTATACCAGCCATTCGCTTTTTTTAATCTTGAATCTCGATCAAAAAATTCTCACTGCATGTCACTCACTCTCTCACATAACCCTTCGTAACTTCCTACTACACACTATATACCACTAGTGTATTGTCTTCCCGTGATCGAGCCTTGTTCTCCTGAGATTACACGCTTGATGCCCACAGCTTTTTAAGAATGCCCTAAGATCGTCTTTGCTCTAGATACCATAAAGGATATGAGAGAAGAGAGAAAGAAACAAAAGATATATTCTTTTATATGTATATCTGAAAGAGTAATACACCCACCCTTTTATATAGGGTCAGAACACGTACATTAACAAAGAAAAACAGAAAAGTAACTGTCATATCATAAACAGTTATTATATTTGACTTATTTACAAACACCTGAATCATAGCACAAAACACAAAGGTAATTGTGAAGTTCTAATTGTGAAGAATTAGAAATCAGGAGGACATTACATTGGAAAATATAGTATTGAAACAAAAATAATACAACATTTTCTTAATTCTCACCGTACACCATGTTTTTCCTATATTGACGGGTTTCTCAAATATTTATTGAGTTTCAACTTTATTAATCTCATACATAATTAAGAATCAAACTTCTTCTCAATGGTCTCAAACTCAATTCGAATATCTTTTCATAAATGTTGACGATTAATATCACGATTGGGATTATACGTTGAAAGATATCTTATTACGATACACAACAATATTCATTCATTTTATTTGTAAAATGATTATTTAAAAATGGTATGAGATATTCCAGTAGACACTGGATATTCTTGTCAAATAATATAATAAAAAATAATAATAAAAGATAAACTTACTAAAAAATATAATAAAAAATAAATTCGAACAAATTAATGATAAATTAATCTTTAATTGGATCAATAATTTGTAATTAAAAAAAATATTTACCTATAAGAATGCTTCATTTAATTTATTTTCTAAGGTTTAAGAAATAATTTATATTTATTTAATATAAATTATTATCTCTTTAATATAATATTATATATAATTAGATAAGTAAATATGTTTATTATATATTATTATTATTATAATAATATAAACTAATAAATATTTCTATTAAATATAATGAACAAAAACCGTCCAAGATACAACTTTCATTATAGAGAAACTAAACAAAAATGGACAGCTGTTAAATATTATTGATACATATATTGCCAACAGTAAAAAGACTATAGAGCACTCTAGCACCTACCTAAACAAGACATTCTTCAGTTTAGTATTGGCTCCTTCTTGTCCTCCCATTTGCTCAACCTCTTCACTGCTTCCTCTACCTACAAAGAAGAAATTGAAAATAACATTAAGATCGCCCCAGACATTATCTTTTACCTTAAAAAAAATGTCTTTACGTGTACCTCCTTATTCCAGTCCGTTCTAAATGTGACCCATAATAGAATCATTGTTTGCATAGTGGTGCCACCTAGCATTCCCAGCCATATTCCCTGCCACGTCAAAAAAAATTGTATTTGTTTAAAGTGAAATATAGATTAGTTTTAGAATAATTATTCTATCATCCGATATCAACCAAAATTTTAACTTTTTATAATAATTATATAAAATCTCATTAAATTTAATTTTTAAATAGTTGAAGGTAAATTATTAGCATGGCTTTATCAATTAATACTTTTCGTTAGAGAATCTGATTGATTACTTTGAATAGAATATTTTCTTCAAATTAATTTTTTCCATTTATAAAACTTCACCTAGACAAATTATTTGATGAACAAAGATCATTACCACTAACGAATTGTTGGTAATATAAACATGTTTAAATAGTTATTATTGTTTCCTGCGTATGGAGTGCAGATACAGGAATAGGTTAAAACTATATATCAATTATCAAATGGAAAAGCCAAAAGTACGTACCTTGGCACCAAATTGGAAATAAAAGCCTAGAACCGAACCCAATGGTAAGCCAACTCCATAATAACAACCCACATTTACATAAGCTACGAAAGCTTGCCATCCACATCCAACAGCCACCCCTTCATTTTCATTCATGTAGATATATGTTAAATTGCATGCAACAGTTTCTACCGGTGTACTAAGTAATAACCAAGAAGGTGGTGTGGGTCTACAACCAAGAGTTAAAAAGAAAATCTTGAGAAGTTTTAACAATGCTTTAGAGTTCAACGATAAACTAAAAATCAAACATGTTACGCCTCAGTAAATTGCTTGATGAGAAATCAATAATTGAGTCTTCACAATCATAAGTGGCTCAATTTTCTATTGATTATTCATCAATTTGTTTGAAATTGAAAAACACAATGTATAATTCAATTTACGAGCATCGTATTCTATGTGATACTTTTGAGGTTTGATCAAGCAATATGAAGTAGTTAATATCAATTACCAGATAAGACGGGCTGAATGCCATTGAGGACAATAGCAAGAGCGAGCAGTGGGCAAAGATCTGAAACTGCAGCAGCAACCTGTTCACCCTCTGTGAAGGCATAGCTAAGGACATCCCTAAGTATAAGAATCACCACTGCTGCAATAACTGATATTATGAAAGAAATCACTGTCACCACAACCACCGAAAACGACGCTGATTTTGGATTTCTTGCTCCTAGTTCGTTGCTCACCCTCACGCTGCATTCATTATTAAATATTAGGGTGTTATTTATTATCATGGGTGTCTATGTATATTTTTTTAAATATTAAACACTGGATTTTCATAACTTTCTACACTAGATAAAGCACCAAAAACAAAGAGGTTCCACCTTGCTTTAATTTAATTTAGTCATATGTTACATCATCGAATTTCCAGGTGCTGAATAATATCGCTAATGGAAATTTTATTAGGCATAGAAAACAGGAATCTAACCTTGCGGCAGCGTTGAATCCAACAGAGATCATGAACAGCCAACCAGAAATTGTTGTACTGCAATACCAAATAGAAGAAGTCAAGAGTACGGACCACAAGAAAATGTTGTGTTTATAGATATCCCTATAAAATATGTAATAGATATAAAATAGACAACTCAAATATTATAGGTACTTTAATTATTTAATGGGTATATTATTAAATGTTAATAATTTGTTTTTAAAATTTTTAAATGAAATCAATAAATTAATAATTGAATGATAGTTTAGAATTTGATATTTATAAATTTATGTTTTTCATTTGAATTTATTTATGAAATTTATTTCTTTAGAAATATTAATTTTATTTGTATTAATATTTTATAATATAATTTTATTTGAGTTGCATTTTAAGATAAAAAATGTATTTGAGTTTATATTTAACAAAATAATATTATTTAAAAAAATATAGCATATATTTATGGATACCTATCTGATATAATAAATAGATGTTTCTAGTCATGACAGGTGGTACGTTCACAACAGAACTTATTTGATTAATTAATTTAAAAAATAAATAATAGTAAACACAAACTAACTGATGAGATCCTCTGCGTTCAAAAAATCAACTGCATGAATCTCTACTATCGGATAGATAAAATCCATTATTTTTCTTTAGTCAAATCAAATTATAACAAAAATTCATCCTCCTTATGTCACGTTCAAAAGTGATGGCGTGCCACTGACCAGGATCTAATGCTAGTTAGTTAACACTGTATAAGATTTTGAAATGCATCATATTGAAGTAGTTCAATTTATATAAATGATATCACATCACATCTTTTGTTTCTTTCTATTTAAAATTATTTATGGACATCATCGCAATATAACTTTTATGTTTAACTAAAATGAAATAAAAGATAAAGGAAAAGGATATAATAACTTCTAAAAAATAAAGATTTCAAACCTTGATAACAAAATATGTCCAAGCATTTATTCACAAAAATATTCAAAATAATCTAAATATTCACTTATCTAAAAATGGGTTTAAAATGATATTTACGTAAATTATCAGTTTATAAAATATAAATTTAAAAATATATAAGTTAAATAAATACAATTTAAAAATTATTTCAATTATATTTAATGACTATAAATTATAATTAGGTTTTTAATATTATGTATGAATTTTTTTAATGTTATGTTTGAACGAAATAATAAAAAGTAAAATTTATTTTACTTTTTAATATATAAATGAAGAAAAAATCAAACTTACAAAATAATAATTACATATTAACATTATTTATTTATTTATTTATTTTTATTTATATTTATACAAAACATGGTATCTTATTCTATGTGTAAATATATAATATAATAAATACTTTTTATTTATTTTCAAGTTTTTAGTTATTAATTATGCATTTATTTAATTTATAAATTTTTTTTAGCTATATACTTATTTTATTCTTATGATTTTTGTAAACTTGTTCAAGTGATTTTTTAACTTAAGAAATGTTTTTTTCTTTAATTTTTCAAATTGGATGTGCATATCCCAACTGGTAAAAGATGAGAAGAAAAGGTTTGAATTTAAAAAAAAAAATGGTTATTTACAACATTTGTGTAGCCTCTATCTCTATAAAAAGTTTTTCAAAATTAAATTTTAAAATATAAATAGCTTAAATACATAAATATGAAGATAAATATATAATACAATAATATGTTAATACCAAAATATAAAGATAATATATTAAATAATAAAATAACATTCGTGAAAATTTGATTATGAAATATTTTAAGTAAATTAGTAAACATACAAATCATAAATAAACAATTGCACCACCTCATCCAAAGTAAAAAATTGTAGTATTTTTTAAATTGTAGTATTTTTTAAATTGTTAATTTTACATGATTTATTGATTCTACCGAAAGATAAGAAGGAAAGAAAACATATAGTAAAAAAAAATTGTTTCAAAATTAGAAAAAAAAATGAGTCCTGCCAGTATTAATTTCTATTCTCTCTAGTTTATTTACATCCAAATCTTTCTATTTCTCACTTTTTTTACTCTATTTCTATTCTCACAAGCAAAGGTAGGATAAAATTAATGTGTGTGAGATTTAAAATATTGTCTGAGTAGAAATAACAGTCAAATAAATAAATCATATAAAAATTTTCTAATATGAATATATAATAAAAAAAAAACTCAACGTGATATTCCTTTGTATGAATTGTCATATTTTTGTTTAAAAATAATAGTAAGAAAATGCATTAATGTTAAATATTTTTAGTATTGTTTATTATATTAAAAGAGATAGTTCATAACAATATTTTGTTTGTTGTTGTAAAAAAATAATCCATCAATCGGTATAATAGACATTTTTTAAATTATCCCGTAAAAGGCACTCAAACCGGCGCCTAATTTCGATATTATAACTAGATTCAGATACATTCTCAATCTTTACGGTAAAACTAATTTTTAATCTTTAAATAATTAAAATAAATTTTAAATTTATTATGTTGGTGACAAATTGCAATGCATTTGTCCAAACGTTCAAATGTTGTTAAAATAATTAAAAACAAAAATAAGTTAACGATAAAAATAAAGAATTGAATTAGATTATATTATAAATAATCTGTTATTATTAATCATGGAAACAAAATGTTAGCAAAATTTGGAATGATATTTCAAACATATGAAATAAGTTTTTTTTTTTCATTATAAATATTAAAAAATAATTTTAAATTAGAAGAAGACAATTATCTTATTCAATTTTAAAACACACACACACACACAAACAACCATACAAACAAACTACCAGTCTACTGAAAGAGAGCGCATCTGATGGCACATGATGAAAAGACACTATCAACCACGAGACAGAAAAAGGAAAACGATGAAGCAGCAAAGAACAGAAAAAAGGAAAACATGAAACAGCAAAGGACAGAAAAAATGGAGATAAGACACGCAGAAAAAGACATAAAAAAAAGTGAAAAGCTTACCAGATTGAAAGGGAATCAAGGGCCAATTCGGGTTGAGGAAGCAGGCCAGCAAGCAGAACCAGAATTTGAAAGTACCACGTCTCCAAACACAGCATAACCGCGGAAGCCGCTGACAGCCTGAAAAACGCGGGTAGTCCGGAAAACGCCTCCCACGTGAACCCCTGCCATGTCCGTCTGCACTTCGAGCTCTTCACGATGTACACGAACTGAGCAATCACGATGATCCACCACGACAGGCTCAGCACCAGCGAGGCGCCCAACAGTCCCAGCCCAATCTTGTACACCACCACCCAGCTCAGCACCAGGTGGACCACCAGCGTCGCAGCTGAGATGTACGCGCTCGGCGTCACTATGCTCTGCGCCTGCAGAAACTTCTGGATCGGGAAGTTCACCGCGTACGCGAAGATCTGAGGGATGAGACCGTACACGAAGAGAGCCGCCGCCGACGCGATTTCCTCCGACTCGCCGAGGAAAACTAAAATCGGCTCGCTGAATACGTATATCACCATTAAAGCGACGCCAGCCAATGAGAGAAGCACCGTTGAGCGCTGCATGTATACGCCTAGCATCTCGAACTTCTGCGCGCCGAATGCTTGTCCGCATAGCGTCTCAACCGCACTCCCCATGCCCAACTGTAATTAGTTACATGTTAGGCAGTGTTTGTAAAATTCATTTTGAATTAAAATGTTCGCACTGTTTAATAATAATAAGAAAATTACTGTATCAATTTCCTTCTGTTACAGTTCCTTACTTGTTCATGAACGCTGAGAACCCTTTCAGGAAACAAGATCCACAAATTTTCTTTAATGGGACAAGAAAATAATTAAACAATTGCCCCCACCCCACTCCCTGCCTGCTGGAAAGTGTCATTCTCAAACAATTGGACCTTGTCTCAACTAAAATTGCAAAATATATTGAGTTGGGTGAGGATTGTTTCAAACAATATTTTTGCACCTCATTCATGTTTTGAGTAGAGTACACTACAATTTCGTACGCTATTCTTACCAAGTATACACGACTAAATTCAAAAATATATGAAGCATGTATCCCTCCATGGTATATCATAAAATCATCATTTAATGTTTTTTTACACCTAAATTTTCACTGTTAAGTTTGTTTCTTCGAGTGTATAAACTTCTATGATTTCTATTCTAAAATAAATTTAAGGTTTAATATCACAATTTAACATTCAGTTATTATTCTAAAAGTGTTTCAAAACATGTTGATGCCACGAAATAATAATAATAATAATAATAATGTCAGAACAAAATTGATTAATAAAAAATAACTATTTTAAACATCCTATATAATAACATATTTACACATTATTTCTTTAAATCACCAGGAGAAGTAAGTGAAATTAAGTTTAATATTAATTATACATGGTAATTAAGATGAAATAGAATAGGATCAGAGATCAACGTGGATACCATGAGTCCATAAGCGAAGATTTGGATGCCAGTGTTACCAAGGGAGGCGGCGGCGAGTTCGAGGTTACCGAGGTGACCGGAGAAAATTTGCGTGGACATGGACATGACGTAGTTGATGAGGTAGACAACCACCGCAGGGGCAGCGAGGAAGAAGAGGAGCCTCAACTCCACCAACGCGGCGGATCCCATACGGTGGAGGAAAGGGACGGTATCGTCTGAGAGAATTTTCTCAACTTCGCCATCGGATGCATGCTTCGAATTTGATCGAGGAATTTCCTCCACTGCAGAAAACGCTGATACTAGCGGTTCCGTCTCCATTGAACCCATTGATGTTAATAATAATAAACAACACTAACACTAACACTAATACTAATAAATAATGATAATAATAATAATAATAATAATAATAATAATAATAATAATAATAATAATAATAATAATAATAATAATAATAATAATAATAAACAAATAATAAAAATAAATATAAGTGAGAGCAACTGCAGAGGCTTTCTCTCTGTGTTTTTATACAACGTTTGGGAGGAGCATTCGATTTTTATGTTGCAGAGAGTCAGAGGCTTCGCAGTAGACAGTGCAGAAATTATATTACAAATAGAATATAAAATTATACGTGTTTGCTGTTTGGTTAAAAAAAACTATATATTATTTTAGACAACAAAATTTTAAAAAATAAATAATGTCGAACCCTACTCTTTTAAAGTATGTAAATCTATCCATTTTAATAAATAATAAAGAAATAATACATGTGATTGATTTTAAATTTAATAAATACTATTTTTGAAACGTATTTTTTGCGTTATTTTAATCTCCTACGTCCTGTCTACGTACATGCTCTCAGGAATACAACAACATCTACCATTCAATTTTGATTATTTTTTTCTTTGTTGAACCACCATTCAGTTTTGGTGCACAATAACTACTACATGTAATATCTCATACTAAACCTAAAAATATTTTGGACCAGATTTTGTTGAAGGTAGAATGTGTTTAAACACACTGTGAATATAGTTTATTTTCAAAATCGTAAAATCAGGTATATATATATTTTTTTAAATATTCCATTATATTGGTATTAAAGGTCTTGGAGTGTAGATGTAAAAGTTGATACCCACAATTTTTGAAAACCAAATTCTTATCATTTGTTTAATATAAGTTTTCATGGGTATTTTGTTTATAATTTTTTTTTCTTAATATAGGATGTTCTAACCACCATGTATCCTCTACCTTTCATCATTTCTTTACCACCCAACAAACTTATAATCCTTTAAAAATTTTAAATATATTTGTTTCATATAATTATAAGTTTTATATTATTTATAGGTTAAAATTAAAGATAATTTATATATATATATATATATATATATATATATTATTTTTTTAATTAAGGCGAAGATTAAAATTATAAAATAGATAATATCTCTTAATTCTAATAATATTATTATAACAAACTCAAAATTAAGATATTTTTATTCTTAAATAAAATAAAAGTAAAATCATAAATTTTATATTACTAAAATATATAATACTTTAAAATTTTAGTTTTTAATGATAATATATTATATTATATTATATTATATCATATTATCTGTCTGGCATTAGTTAACTGTTTTTTCAATAATTTCTTAGTGCATAAAAATTTATGTTATTATTTTTACCTTGAAATTTATTGAAATAAATTACGGGGAAACTTTTTTTCCATTAACTTTAGTAATAAAATTTTGTTCAGATAATTAAATTAAAAAAAATGTTGATAGGAGTAGTAACCCTAACAGTTAAGTATTGTAACATCACAGACATACAATAAAGAAGGTAGTAGAAAGTGGTGCAAAAGATATGAATGATAGGGATTCTAAAAAGCTTCTAAAACGAAAGAGACACGAATCTATGTAAATTTCTTAAAAAGGGATTAAGTATTACGACCAAACCTTCAAGATGGATCTAAAGAATTTCCTAGTTAAGTATGTTTGATTTAAAGTAACTTTAGGGTAAGTGATATTTTGAAAAGTTTCTTAAAACAACTTTTTTCATAAGGAGTTATATAGAAAATAAAAATTAAAACTCAAAATTAGTTTATATATAAATTTAAAAATATAAATTTTGAGAAATAACAGGAAGAAATTTTACAAATTAGCTTAATTTAACTCATGCACAGGCTCATTAAAGTTTTTCTTCCTAGTTTTTCTTAATTTTAAAGGTGAAAATTTTTGGTTAAACAAACCCTTATACATGCACTTGAAATGAATTTTATAGCAGGGATTGTAATAACAAGTAGTGTCTGCATTATTGGAACCTGAAGACTTGATTTTTCTAATCGATGTGTTGTCAAAACATTGTTCCAAACATGTTACTGCACGCAGACAATAGCTGTTTTTATATCTTTTTTTCTGGTTTTTGATGAAATTGAAGTTCAAGTTTGCTTCAATAGGTGACCAAAAAAAAATGGTCGGTCATTTCAAATTAGATGCAAAACGTTGACCCCTAACCGAAAACATGAAAGATTGACCAATAATAAAGGGATCAACAGTGTCATCAGATTTACATATTCAACGTTGTTGTGCGGTGCTGAGGGAGATGTACCTCTTTTTAAGCAGTGATTAGAGGGCATCAACTTCGAGATTTAAACCTTTGTTTTGAACAATCCTTGTAACTTAACGTATTATATTGAGATAAGCAATGGTAGACTCCAAATGCAGCAATATTATAAAGTTATCCTTTCTTCTGTTATCAGATTAAAAATTCAAAACAAAACGCTATATGCTGAAGTTTAGAGACGGCTATAGTAGTAAAATATTGACACAGTATAAAACAAATTGGAATCCAAAGGCATAGTTCATCATGGTGTTGAATTCAAGCAAGAGAATCAACTTTCTTCATGTCAAAAAACTGGATATATGCCATGTGCTTTCTCTTCCTCACTTTATATATATATAGCTGGTTTTTCTTCTCTTCTTCTATATATATATATATATATATATATATATATATATATATATATATATATATATATATGTTGGTGTTGAGTGTTGAAACTTAAGTGCTAGCTACAACATGTGGAACTGCTGCTTGAGAAACAACTTAGTTGCAGCACAAGATGAGAATGAAGAGGGCAAGAAAGTTGAGAAGATGAAGACATTTTCATGTGGCATGAAGAAGAGGGTAAGGTTCAAAATAGAAGATGGTGGTAGTAGAAGTGGCCTTGTGAGGATTAGGTTGGTGGGGACTAAGGGAGATTTGAAAAGGTTGTTGAGAAATAAGAACGAGAATGAATCTCAGCATACTTCATTGGAACAGTTGCTGAGAGATATGATGTTGAGGGAAAAAAGGGTATCTGGAATTGAAAAATATTGTGGGAGCATAAATTCATGGAAACCAGTTTTAGAAAGCATTCCAGAGGATCGATCGATGATGTAGTTTGTTCTTACGATCATTTTGGTCTGTAAATAATGACAATAGTTTCTTTGATTTGATTATTTATGAGTTTATAGTTTCATATGGAGTATGTAATAGAAATGTTAAATGATGAATTTTTATGTATTATATATCTACTATATCATCAAAAAGAGGATATGATTAATAAAAACATGTTTCTGATCAGAATTTGCTGTATTCTCAATCAAAGATGGTATTCTTGAAATACTTTTAGCTATGAGCAATTTACTTAATAGCAGATCTGTGGAGGGCATGCTCAAACTTTTTTACATTTGTTTATTGTTAAAAGTTATAATAGTTTTAAATTATATATTAAAATATCTATAGTTTAATTACTTTTTAACACAAGAAAAATTAGATTTTTTAACAAAAAAATTTCGTCAGTAAATATATATTACCAATGAATTATTGATGGGTAGAAATTTATCGATAATTATTGACGAATATATCAATCGACAATTAAGACATATTTTATTTATTTATATTTTTAATATTTAATAAATTAGAGGTCTCTTATCATTTATATTATATTTTTATTATATATTAAATTGGAGATATACTCTACTAAGTTTTTTTAATAATAATTTACAAATAAATTATATTTATATACAAATAAATATATATCCGTATAAATATATAAATATAAAATATATAAATACAAATATATTTATATATTTTGATATATATATATATATATATATATTATATATTTATATATATATTGGATGTGAGACGCGCTTCGATAGTGGAAGTGTGTATCGTGTTTATTAGAATATATTTAAAATTGAATAATTATTATATAATTTTAAATATTTAATGTTTAATTTAATATTAATTTTTAAAAATATATTTTAAATTCGTCAATAAATGAACAAATAATTACCTAATTGTCCATTTATCAAAATTATTAATTTACTGACGGATATATCCATCGGTAATTACTTATTTATTTATTGATGAGTTTATCGATGGATATATCTGTTAATAATTATTTATTTATTTATCGACGGATATATCCGTCGGTAAATAATTATTTATTTATTGAAGACCAAATTTCATAACTAATTTAAATTCGTTAATAATTTCAGTCGATAATCACTTATCTTCTTACGGATACATATCTATCGATAAATATATGTCGGTAATATTAAATTTTCTTATGATGTAATAAGTTTTTCTATGGTTCATCTTAAAGTTACTTAAGTCATTGAACAAACATAGAACAACACTACAATTGAAAATTATCTTTACTTATTTTTCTTCTTCTTATTATTATTATTATAGATATTTTTCGTGAATATATATATACGGAGAGAAAGAAATGAACCGAGCCACTATAAGTTTCTGGTAATTATAAGTTCTTAAAATCAAACCAGTCAATAATATGAACTAAAAAGATTTAAAGTAAAACTACAATTTAAAAAAAAATTACATCTTTTTAATAAAATAATAATATATTTACACAAAATAAGTTTATTATTAATGACTACAAATATTTAAAAAAAATATATCATTTTTTAATAAACATAAAAATATTTTTTAATTAATAGTCTAAAAACTTGTTTGATTTAATTTAATTTTTTAATTTTTAAAATTAGTTTTAAATATCAATTGTAAAAAAAATTAAAAACAAGATGAAAAAAATTGTTTAATAATTCTATTTTTAATGAAGAAAATGATATGAAAATCAAGTTTGAAAATGATTTGGATAATATTATAATGTTAAAAATAGTGATTTTATGTAATTATTGGTTAAAATGTTAATATTTATTAATAAAAATGAAAATTAAAATAGAAAATACTTTTTATTTATTTTAATTTTTAATTTTTTTAATTTTTAAAAAATTTGAAAACTATTTAAACAAACAGGTATCAAACACGTTTTATAGTTTTCAAAAACAAAAAAACATTTTTAAAAATAATAAGCAAATAAATCCTTAATTCTGCATAAAAAAATTATTCGATCATAAGTAAATTCTCCCCTCTTCAAATAAAACATTTTCAGAACAATTGAAAATTCAGAATAAATACAATAAAGAATCCACGTGTATTATATAGACAAGACACTCAAGGTGGCTTTTAACTTTATCTTATTTATTTATTATAAAGGTTACGCTAAAATTTAAAAACCTTTAAATAAAAAGGTTAGTGGGAAAGTTTGTTAGGCATATTAGGTGGACCTATTCAAATATAATAATTATAATAATAATAATAATAATAATAAATTTGAATATTTTGCATTCTCAATTTCACTTAACGAGGAGAGTCGAATAGTTGAGTTATCATACTGTTCTTTGCATTGATCTTATATTATTACTTGTTGCTTTTCATTTTATATCATTAAAGAATTTTGATTTAGTTTAGTTTTCTATTAAAATATTATCTGAATCAAATGAAAAATATAATACGATTTAATTTATTTTTATTTTAAAAAAATCAAATAATCAAATTAATATTTTACAATACTATTTTTTATATTATAAAAATTTATCAGATACATTGTAATAAAATAATAATTTCATAAAAAATATATTATAAAAATATCATATATAATTAATTAAGATATTTATAATATTAAATTATTAATGAACAGAACATATCTTAAATTATAAAAAACAATTAATTAATTTATATAATATATCATTTTTAATTTATATATATATATATATATATATGTGTGTGTGTATTTTTTTTTTATAAATTCAATTTGATTTGAATTAATTTCTACCTATGTAACCAAAAATCAAACTATATCAATTAATTTTAAAAATTTTCAACCTTAATAATTCAATTTGAATCGGTTTTCGAAATTTTTTTAAATTTGTTTGGTGTTGACGGCCCTAATTGATTGTATAAACAAAATCAAATTTTAGTTGATTGAACGATGATATAAGACCATACGAAGATTGGTTATTGTATAATTAGATATTTTGTTTGGACCGACAAAGTAAATTCCTTGGTTCGTTTTCATCTTCTATGGAGACATGATTTCCCGAGAGAAAATTAAGTGCAGTTTAATTAAAAGAATATTCACTGTCATCGGCATGGATCACATCAGCTTATACAAAATACAATTGTCCCCATTGTTCAATGGGCACAAAACGCAGACATGAGAAATCTAGAATCAATGTACTCGATTGTTCACAGGCCTAATACAAACACCTGGAAGTGTCAAAAAATTGCCTTCTCAAAGAAAGGATATTTCCTATTTATTGAATTTAATTTACCTCATTTTATTACCACTCGAAAGGTGTACACATAGTGGCAACAGGCATTTAACATTTTCCATCAGAGTGACTTCACTGCTTAATGAGGTTCCTGATCACATACGGAAGTATGCCCCCATTGTTAAAGTAAGCAAGTTCCACCTGAAAATACGAGGGTGTGTTACACAATAATCTAAGTACAAGTTTTTGAAACGCAGAAGAAATGGTGTGCTCGAGCCCCAGCAAATCCCCAACACCACAGTTTACACTACATTGCATCAACAAACAAGCATGAATAACGGACAAGATTGAGTTACCTCTGTGTCGAAGCGAACTGTGCAGGTGAAAGATTTTCCAGTATCAGTTGTTACAGTGACATCTTGGCCAGGCCTTATCTCGCTGATTTTACTTGGGAGGTCAATAGAATAGCGTTCGTGACCGGTCAATCCCAATGTGTCAGCGTCTTCACCAGATTTAAAGCAAAGAGGAATAATACCCATTCCTACCAAATTACTACGATGAATTCTCTCAAAACTTTTAGCTATCACAGCTTTGACACCCTGTCAGAAAAATGTAAACATTATCAAGAACGTCAGGAATAAGTCGCGGGACATGTCAAGAAAACCAAATCACAGGCTATATAGGACTCACCAATAGCATGGGACCCTTGGCGGCCCAATCTCTGGAACTTCCACTACCATACTCAGCTCCAGCAAGAACAATGGTGTCCTTCCCCTCAGCCTTGTATCTCTGGCATAAAAGAAAATTTATGGGGATTAGAAGAGTAAAAGAGCTAAAGTCAGATTTTATCACATTGCCCTAGCACAAAGGTATCCACTAGTTTTATTATCAGCAGAAAAAACCATTTTACTTTTCATATTATGGTAACCGGTGGATTTTGATTCTTTATCAAGTATTTATTTGGTCTAGCATTTCTTTGGCTTAAAATATATTTAAAGCTAAAACAACTACAAAAGTGAAATTTGCTACGGATAACCTGAGAGCAGGTTGAGGGCAGCACGTAGTGAGGGGAGGGAGAGCAAGGAGCGGAGAGGAAAGAGGAGTTACCCTTTTTTCTAAAAGCTCCTTCGTTCAATTATTTTTTTTCCTTTTCTTCTATAAATGTTAAACTGTTTAATTTTTTAAAAAACTTTCTACAAAATGCATATTGTCCTCAAAGGGGAGGGTCCAATAAATGGAGATTTTATTCCAAAAATAAGCCTTGCAGTCTTTGCAATAAGTTGTGAATTTTTTACTACCGATTTTAATTATTTATACGCAATACCTTAAAATTGATGTATAACATGCATTATAAAGAAAATTCAACGTTTTTCCTCACCAGCAAATGGTCAGAAAATATCAAAGGAAATAAAAAATCTGCCCATTGAAAAGTCGAAAAGCAGTAAAGAACGGCATGCTATACTAGTTTAGTACATAATTTACCTGCGCTGCATCAAACACATAAAGCTTCTCCCCAGTGGGAATGTGAACTGTCTTCGGACCAACCTCCCCATTCAAGAGCTTGTTAACAAGCCGAATGTTTGCAAAAGTTCCCCTTGCCATCACTTCATCATTGCCACGACGACTTCCATAAGAATTGAAGTCCTTTTGTTCTACCCCTCGCTCCAGAAGATATTTTGCAGCAGGACTGTCCTTGTTAATGTTTCCAGCTGGAGAAATGTGATCAGTTGTTATGCTGTCACCAAAATTCAGCAGACAATAGGCATCTTTCACACCATGAGCTCCGGGAGGATCCATGGTCATGCCCTTGAAGTATGGAGGTTCATGAATATATGTTGACTTGGGGTCCCATGAGTACAGGGTCTCAGCAGGAACTTGTAGTTGGTTCCACATGGTGTTACCTTTGGTAATAGCTTCATATGTACTTCGGAACATGTCAGGTAACACACTGGATTGAACAGCCTATGAACCAAGCAACCGAAGTTAATCTCACTACACTGTCAAATTTGTACTGTAAATTTTACAAAATGAGGAAAGTAAACATCATTTACATCTGCAATTTCTTGAGTGGATGGCCATATGTCCCTCAAGTAAATATTCTTTCCATCCTTCCCTGTCCCTATTGGCTCCTTTTCGAAGTCAATGTCAACCTGGAAATTCATTACCAAAAGGTAAGTGATAGGTTAACAATGTATTATAACACTCGATGGGAAAGTTTAGTTTCAGAAAGTCTTCAGTTTTTTTTTTTTTTTTCACTTAACAAAAAGTGTCATCTTATTTTAACATCGTTTCTTATTTACGAATGTCCGTATAACAAACAATAAAACAAGATACTTCAACTATTTCATATACAAATACTTGAAAACATGGCATTATTGCAGTCAATCGTGAAAACAAAAAAATGGAAACAAAAACAAGCTCTGAGAATAACAGGTCCTATATATTTCATCAACCATTAAGAGACTAATTAAAAAAAATGCACCCAACCCAACGAACTAAACAATGATCTAGATGAAGCTATTATAATTGGTAGAACGCTTCATATTAGTGGGAGAAGGAAGAAAATCAACACGGCCTAAAGCCCATACTGTAAGTCAAGATCCCAAGTTTTGGAAGTAAAACTCCTAGAAATTTATTAGAGAATGGAGAAAATAAAACAATTGGATTTGAATTCAGCTTCTGCCTATTATATTAGATATTAGCATGAGACTGAACATGTATATATGAAGAGGATTAGAGAATGGAGAAAATAAAACAATTGGATTTGAATTCAGCTTCTGCCTAATATATTAGATATTAGCATGAGACTGAACATGTATATATGAAGAGGATGGACCAGACAATATCAACAAAGTTCGTGGTTGGCCTCCAATACCAGCAGTTTTAACATTTATCAGTATTGTTTCTTCCAATAATGTTCTTGGCAATCATAATCTAACTATTTGTAGTAACAGGATATGCAAATCAGACAACACGAAAGAAGCAAGAATAAAAACCTTTCATATACACATCAAAAATATGGATTAAGGAAACATACTGTGCCAGCAAGAGCATAAGCAACAACTAGAGGAGGTGAGGCAAGGTAGTTAGCTCTGGTCAAGGGATGCACTCGGCCCTCAAAATTACGGTTTCCAGACAACACAGCGGCAGCCACAATATCTGTGTGAGACAATTATGAGTATTTAATAAGTTCAGCAAATATTAAGCAGAATATTGTTAGAAGTTATCTATAAGCAATAAACAAGATAATTGCAATAATTACACAAATTATCCTCAATTATAGAAACTATATTTGATATCTCAATTACCATTTTCAGAGATAGCAGAAGCAACCGACTGGTCCAGCTCTCCAGAATTGCCAATACATGTGGTACAGCCAAATCCAACAATATTGAAACCTTGTTCATTTAGATACTTTTGCAGGCCACTGACCAGAAAATATAAAAGATGTCCAAATTTAGTATACATTTTTCCAGAATTGTGCAGAGTGAACAGGGAAAGTACATTATAATACAAATAACAAAATTAATATTCTACTATGAAGAGTGAAGTACCTCTGAAGTAGATATTTTGTAACAACTCCAGATCCAGGAGCAAGACTTGTTTTCACCCATGGCTTAACCTGACAAAAGTGAAAACACATATAATTACTATCTAGAAAAGGACAGCATAAATAGAATACAATTTTTCAATTTTATTAGTGGCAGGAAAAGTGGACCACATCCATGTAAACACAACATGTTTAGGAGTACTATAATGAGTTTCTAACATTTATCTTGGTGCCTAACCTTCAAACCTAACTCATGAGCCTTCTTTGCTACGAGGCCAGCACCAAGCATAACACTTGGGTTTGACGTATTTGTACAGCTTGTGATTGCAGCAATCACAACACTTCCATGCTTGAGCTCCGCTGGCTGCCCATGAAAATCAAATTTTGCAACTTTTCCTTGTACGTCTTTTGGTATAGCAAATCCCTGTATCCAAAGAAAACATCTAAGAAGATTAGACTATGCATGATTTATCACAGAAACTGTGTCAGCAAGTTTGAAGTCTCTCTACAACTTGAAACTATCAGAATGACTAATATTAGAAAAAGGATTAACTTCTTTCATTCTGATTATCATAACCTTTCTCAATTCTTGGTATGGTGATCATAGAAAATAAGAAATATAATAGGGAAAGAATAATATTCAGGAAATAGGACTCACTTCACTTCAGTAAATATCAAACATATTTAGATCCATGTTTCAAGATACAAATCAGCTATTTCTTTCTCTTAACATAATGTTGTCATTTCCCTTCTGTACTGGGCAGGACCATTTATATGCTACATTTCATTGTCCAAGTTTGCAGAAACAAAGTCATATAATTTGGTAAACAGAAAAGCAAGTTGTGTTAGATACAACAATTTGAACTTTCGTTTGTGATCATCTTTTAGGTATATATTAGTTCCAAGTCACCATGGACACACAAAAAGAGATTGCAAACTTAACTACATAGAATTTTAACACAAAAACCACGTAATGGCCACATAGTAGCATTTACTAAGAACAAAATGGTGGAGTCAAAAGAAAAGACAAGATTTAGTACTGAACTATGAAATTAGCTACACAATTTATTATAAGAAAAAAAGTATAAGAAAATATTTCAAACATCACAACATTACTAACCTTAAATCCCACTTTGTTGTCTAGACAAGCATGCCAATCAGCCTTCATTTCTTTCAATGGCACCCGATCATGAGGTCTGGAATGTGTATTCAATATGAAATACCACAGATTATAAAGAAAAAAAATTTAAACCTACAGTAAAATAAAAGACATATTTTGGAAAAGGGAAGTGTCTCTTACCTCTTGGGGCCCGAGATGCATGGTTCAACTTCATCAAGGTTCAATTCAAGATAGGATGAATAAACTCTGTCCGGTTGAGGCTGTATTTACAGCATATAAATTAATGTTCCATCCCCTTGACATAAACATATTTGTTTTGTCCGAACAGAGTGCAAAGGATATTCAACTAGTATTACCTCATTATAGTCAATAAACAATTTGTTTGCCCTGAGATAGGCCTCTATCATTGCCACCTATACGGTAAAAAATGAAGGTTAAGGAAACCAACAAGCATTTCACATCATTGGAAAATAATGAGCTCATACTCACAGTCTCATCACTTCTTCCAGTTAACTTGAGGTATTGTAATGTAACGTGATCTACAGGGAAGAAGCCCATCGTTGCACCATACTCAGGAGACATATTGGCAATTGTGGCCCTATCGGCCAATGATAACTCACCCATACCATCACCTATAGCGCAAAACCATGAGTACTGGTAATTAGCTAAGACAGTCCAGCTTAAGGTAAAAATTTGAGCAGATGCAAGGGAACGTAATTACCATAAAATTCAACAAATTTCCCTACAACACCATGTTTCCTAAGAATTTGTGTCACAGTTAGAACCAAGTCAGTTGCTGTAACTCCATTGCGCAATTTTCCAGATAACTTGAACCCAACAACACCGGGTAACACCATGCTCATAGGCTGTCATTATCAAAGGACATAGCATTAGGAGTGCCACTTTAGCTAAACATCTCCATGAGCTAATTTTGTGTTAAAGGATAAAAACATATAATTCTGAAGAACAAATTATCAGAATTCATTACATTTATAGGGAAAGGGTATAATATAATCAGAACATATTCATCACAAATAAATCAAAATTTGGAAGTAATACCTGACCAAGCATTGCTGCCTCTGCTTCAATACCCCCAACACCCCATCCAGCAACTCCAAGCCCATCAATCATTGTTGTATGTGAATCAGTCCCAACAACACTGTCAGGATAGAGCAAGCCTTCATTGTTGAATACAACACGTCCAAGATATTCAAGATTGACCTACAACAAGACATAACAAGTCCCCAGTATTAACAATAAAGAATAATAATAACCATAAAAAATATATTCCGTAATGTCTGGTTTTGAGCTTACCTGATGTACTATACCAGAACCAGGAGGGACAACAAGCATGTTACGGAAAGCATTTGACCCCCACTTAAGAAAAGCAAACCTCTCCTTGTTTCTCTGGAACTCAAGCTCCATATTGGCCTGCACTGCATTCTCTGACCTTGCTACATCAACTTGAACTGAATGATCAATGACAAGATCAACAGGAACCTGACAACAATTATAAATCAGAGTCAAACACTTTTACTATAGCAAACATAACATATAGAGAAAATACGGCTAATGGGAACTATTTGTTAAATTTCTATAAATCAGAATAACTAGCTTCAACAATTAGATTTAAACTGCGTTTAGTAATTACTCAAACTTCAAAGAAAGAGTTCTAGTAGATTCACTTTTAAGTGAAAATTCGTTCAATAAAATCCTATATTGCAAGATCAATTGATTATTTAAAATTGGTACAAAAATGTGATTTTTGAAATGGCACATGACCTGTCTAAGAAACTGAAACAGCCTCTGATCCCATGCAACAGCACAAGATTTCAAAAACAATTAAGCAAACAATATTTGATCTTAAACAAATTCAAAATCAAATTTTATATATGTTAAGTATATTGTGATATCGATTAGTATTTGGCAGTATTAGTATTAGAGAAACTAGTTTTTGAATTGAGCACATAAACTTCCCCAAAAGTCATTTCGATTGTAAATTAGCACTGGCTCTGCATGCTAAATATATCAACAAGTGGTTTTTACTATGTATGATGGCCTTGTTCATAGCATAATCATAATCAGAATTTTAAAAAAAATACAGAGTAAATCAAGAAAAAACGCCATTTATCTCTCTCTCTATATATATATAGTAGCAAAGCCCACTTAAGTTAAATAGTCAGTATTACATAAAAGTAAAAAATAAAATTTACTTCGTACAGACAACTAATAATACTTATGAAAGCAATTACAGGCACATACAGCACATAAAAATGAGAAATCTCTTTGGAAAGTCCAATCAATGACTAGACAGAGAACATAAGCACGGAAAAAATGATAAGAATGATGTATACCAGAGGATTGATCTTATTAGAATCACTGCCAAGCTTATTCATAGCATCACGCATGCAAGCCAGGTCAACAACAGCAGGGACTCCAGTAAAATCCTGAGGAGAGGAGAAAAATCAGGTTAAAGAAAGAACACAAATGATTTTATATCATCCATCCATGACAATATCTCTTTTGCCGCACCCAGAATTGAACAAGGTACCTGCAGTAGAACACGAGCAGGCTTGAAAGGAATCTCAACTTGCTTCACAGAAGAGTTTTCCCAGTCAATAATCTTCTCAACATCTCCCTTAGTAACTTGGAAGTTGTCACAATTACGAATGGCAGATTCAAGAAGAATTCTGATAGAGTATGGTAACCTATCTGTCAAGCATCCACAAAGTTTAAACCATCGGCAACAAAGCATTAGCAAGGAGACCGCGCTATTCTAAATAACTAGAATCTTATCATTAATCATCAGAATATGATAATAGAACTACATCACGAACACCACCCATTCCAACCAACATTCCAGTAAATAAAATCAGCAACGTGAAATAAATTAAACAATTAAGCTAGCAACTTACCAATTCTCGGATCATTGAGCGACGGAAGGCTGTAGAACTTTCCAAACTCGCCACCACCAGGCTTAGGGAGACTCGTTAGGTTTCCCTTGAAAGGATTATCAGCAGCTGCAATGGCACTTACGTCAGATGACCAATCAGACACAAAATTCAGCACCATACATCAGAGAAGCTAAACTACATATCCCTTAAACAAAGCAAACTCCGTACACACAACGCACTAAACAATAACATATTCTCTTAATCTCGTTGACAATCAGACAGAAGATTCCAGAAAAAGAAAAAAGCAAACGGGAATTCGGTCACATCAAAGTTCAAGTTCATTAGAAAAACCAAAAATCGCATCGAAAAATTCTCAGCTAAGCGAAGCAGATAAAAAGGAACAGAGCTCCAATATGGCGGGAGAGAGCAGTAAAGTACCACTAGTGGCGATCCTGCGGTGAAAGCGTTCGATGAGGGGAGCAACGGCTCTGATCTGCGGGCGGAGGCCGAGCGGGGAACGCCAATCAACGCCGTGGCTCCATCGCGGAACGGCGGAGCCGAAGGAGCGCACGGCGGGGGAGGAGCCGGGTGATCCACGAGGAACAGAGCGAGAGAAGGTTCTAGAAACAGAAGCCGAGGTAGAGGAAGCAAGCTTGGAGCGAGAAGCTCGGAGGAGCGAAGTGGCTGCAGAAGCCATGATCAAAGCATTCGTCTGATGAGAAGCAAGCGTGTGGAGAGCGAACGCAAACTAGGGCTTCTCCTTCTAGTTCTAGAAGAGAATAACAGTGCCCGAAATTTCTAAATACTCATCTATTTTCAATTATTACTCGAGACTACAACAAGCATTGGCCGTTTTTATTGAGACTCAAACCCGTTCCTCTGTGGGTATCTCCACCCTATGCAATCTTCCTGTCCAATCAACTCCTGCACTCCGTAAAATACTAACCAACTCATAACCTCTCGTTACAAAATCTCCATTTTCTTTTATGTGCTAACCTACTTTATTATTAATTAATTAGGTTATTTAATTTTGTTTACTTGTAATAATAATTCCTTCCAACATATACCCCTGGTTCCCAGGCAAATTTTGCGAAGTTTGGCCAAGTGGCGTGGTCAAGTTGTATCATTCAACTAATATTCGCATCACTTGCGAAGAAACCACACCGTTCTCTTCGCTCATTATTAGCTCTCTATGACTAACGAATCATTCCACGTGCCTTCTCCATCTCTGATTTTTCATCCTTGGTTTCGTAGTTCAATGTAAAGAATTATTCATATATTACTGGTGTCGGTGTTCACTTTTGTGTAATGAGAATCGCGAGCCAACTTGGCCAGCAACACTTTACCGTTGAAAGCGCAAGGAAGGATCATGGGAGTGGTGAGGGTTGATTGCGAAACATGCACCTGCGATGTACCGTAGTTTATTTTATTTACTTATTATCATATAGTAAAAGCTTTCTTTTTAGGTCCTTTTGTCTGAATCGGGTTCAGAAAGTGCGAATAATATTCGGCCATCGAAGTAGACCGAGAATAAATACTCCATGGTAGGTCCAACTCAAACGTTGACGATTCCCAACAAGACCAATATTATGGATTTTTTTTATAAAATCAAACACTCCTTCCAAATTTTTAGAAGAATAAAAATAAAAATTAGAGTAGTCTTTTCAAAAAAATCAATTTAAAATGTCTTTTAATCATTTTTAAAAACTTTTTAAATTTAGTAAGTAATAGATGGTATGCATTATTTGATATGTTAAATATTTGAAAGTTCAACATTATTTTGTATTGAGAGAAGTTATTACGTATATTAATATTGAAAAAAAAAATCATGTTAATAACAAATTTATTAAAAGAGAGAAACAAAAATTGAGATGTTAATGCTGGGGATGCTTTGTAGAAGATACATTTTTAGCTTCCGTAATATGAAATTGGAGAAGTATGTCTTTCATGTTCCTTATGAAAAATAATATCATAGGAAAGCAAGATTTTTCAGAAATAACTTCAATTCAAGTTTTCCACGAAAACATTATCATGAAAAAAGATAAGAAATTATCTTTTCCGATTATAATAGAAAAAATAATTTAAAAAAACATGGTACTTTAAAATGATAATGAATTAAAAAAATTTGGTAAAAATAACATATTATTTTTTCATTTCTATAAAACTTATGTAAATATTTTCAACAATTTATTTCACTGATGAAACCAGTTTTTTTTTTTTTATAAATCAAAATTTTCATGATTCTCGATTTTGGGTATGAGAAAAAAAATCTTGTACCAAACATGCTCTTAAGGATAATTGAAAAAAAAAGTAAATTATGATAAACTAATAACATTTACTTATTTAATTAATTTGTTTAATTCTTATAAATTAGTGAATTGAGTTTGATAAAATTAAAAAACATTGACGAACAATATTTTGAATAAATACACTTCAAAATATAAATAAATAAAGTTTGTTATTAAGTTCATGTTAATAATCGTAGTAAATATATTAATTGAGGCAAATCGAATGAATATTTAAATTTTTTTTATAGTTACTTACAAAATTATGCTCTGAATCATTTTTATACATGGTTATGATTAATGTAATAACTATTACATTTTCAAAAAATGTTAAGAAATATTCTTATTTTTAAAAAATATGATTTTATTTTCTCAACAAGTATTTACATATGTGTCATAAAGAAAAATCTAAAACACCTCATATTGAAAATTCATATTCCTTAAAAAAGAAAGGTAAAAATATATCAACCAGGATTAATCCTATCGTAAATAAATAATTACGTTTTATCATTTGTGTTAAAAAACATTTATGTAAAATATCCAATAAGTCGCATAAAATTTATTTTAAAAGAAATGTGTCTTGAAAATCAAATTAATGTTAAAAAGGTTAATCATCTCATTCACAAACTGAGAATATAATATCTATAAAAGTTATTTCTTTTGAATCTTTCCATCAAATAGACGATAGAGTTTGTATTTTGTTTACTGGACTTCCGATGTGAATAAGTCGTGTGTTTCCCTTCCACTTTGAAAACATCATCTTAATCTGAACCTAGAAGTTTATGGTTTATTCTCTAAAAACTCTGATACTTTCAGTTTTTTTATTTTTTTTATTTTTTTTAGAAAAATTGAATGAAAATTGCCCCAGTTTAATAAACGTGTCTAATAAATACTTGATTTTTGTTACACAATTCGATATGATTGTAATTATTGTCAAATATTGTAATTAGCTTAAATTGGGATACCTACTTAATATAGGAGAGATACTTGCCTAATTTCTAGAGATTTAGCTTATTTCTCTCCTAATGTTATGTAACGATCGGTGTATTCACTTGTATATATTTTGCCTCTCAATCAATGAAATATATGCTCTCGAGGTATACTTTCATGGTATCAGAAGCATCTCTATAATCAACTCTGATTTTTTTTACCTCTGCAGCATGTCTACCTCCAGCAACCTTAATTTGGAGAGCCCTTATTATCTTCACTCTTCTGATAATCCTGGACAAACTCTTGTGAGTGACGTCCTTACAAGTCTCAACAATTACAATCCATGGTCTCTTACCATGACAATGGCTTTAAAGGGCAAAAACAAATTTTGCTTTGTTGATGGCTCTTTAACGTCCCCTGCATCCACTCATGAAGATTATCACCGTTGGTCTCGTGTCAATAATATGGTCATGTCATGGATCCTCAACTCCATTGATCGCTCTCTGGCCCATACTGTGCTTTATGCAGAATCTGCCGCTGCTGTTTGGACGAGATCTCAAGGCACGCTTCTCCTCCAACACTGGCCCTCGCATATATGAGCTTGAGCAAAATATTGCTACTCTTCAACAACAAGATTCTTCAATTGCACACTACTTCAATCAGCTTCGCTCCCTTTGGGATGAGTTATCCCTTATTGATCCTCCACCAATGTGCACTTGCCAAGGTTGTACTTGTGGAGCCAAAGAGACTTATATCTCCCAACAAAACAAACGACGCCTCATGCAGTTTTTGATGGGACTCAATGACAGCTTCAGTCAACCACGAAGCCAGTTACTTCTTACTACATACCTCCCCGATGTTGCTCATGCCTATTCCCTTCTCCTTCAAGATGAGGCTCAAAAGGCCCATACACATCCCCCACTGACTTCAGAACGTGCAGCCCTCCAAACTCAACCTGCACACGCTTTTTTGGCCAAACAACCACCTTCTCGCAGTCGTCCCAAATGTGCGCATTGTGGCATCCTTGGTCATACGGAGCATAAGTGCTATAAGCTTCACGGATATCCGCCAGGGCATCGCTACTACCATAAGGGGAACACTCATGGACAGTCATCTACTTCATCCACTCGTGCTGACCAACGTAATGATGCTGTTAAAGATCCTTTATCTGCAGATTCGTTACAGCAACTTCTTCGCCTATTAAGGGAGGTAAACCAACCTAAGGCCAATCTCACAGGTGCGTCTCTAGCTCTTTATTCTTCCCTCTGTATGCCTACTGAATGGGTTATTGATACTGGCGCAACAGATCACGTTTCTTTCACCCCTTCCTCTTTTCAACAACCACCTATTCCTTCTTCTCTTCATAAATCTATTTGTGTTCCTAATGGTCATTCGGTTCCTATACATGGCTTTGGAAATGTACACATAACATCAGATATCATCTTGACTGATGTCTTATTTGTACCCTCATTCAAATTCAACCTTTTATCTGTGCCAAAACTCACCCAGACTACTAATTGTTCTGTTTCCTTTTATCCTGATCATTGTGTATTTCAAGACCATTTGACGAAGAAGGAGATTGGTCGGGGCCATAAAAAGGGTGGACTCTACTTCCTTGATGTCTCTACCTTTGTTGCCGCCATCATCACTACCTCATCCACCACTTGGCATGCTAGGTTTGGTCATCCATCATCAAGTGCCCTCAAGTGTTTAGCTCCTGTTCTTGGTTTCAATAAAGACTCTTGTGACCATTGTGAAGTCTGTCATTTGTCAAAACAAACAAGACTCCCTTTTCCTTTACACACACCCACTAGCAGTGGTTTGTTTGAATTAATTCATGTTGATATTTGGGGAAAGTATGCCACACCTACAAAAAATGGTCATCATTATTTTTTAACTATTGTTGATGATTTTTCCCGTGTCACATGGACCTATCTCATGAAATACAAGTCGGATGCCTATTCTTTGTTAGTTCATTTCTTAGCTTATGTTCGAAATCAATTTCGGACATGTGTAAAAACAATCCGCTCCAATAATGGCACTTGAATTTACAAATAATTCATTTCAGAAAATTCTTTGTGACTCGGGATTCTCCAACAATTCTCTTGCCCAGGTACCCCACAACAAAATGGTGTCGTCGAGCGTAAGCACCGACATCTTCTCAATGTTGCACGGGCTTTACGTTTCCAAGCCGATCTTCCACTAATTTTTTGGGGTGATTGCATTCTTACTGCCACTTATTTAATAAATCGAACACCATCCAAAATTTTAGCCGGTCAAACTCCTTATGAAAAACTCTATGGCCATCCACCTGATTTCACTCACTTGCGTACATTTGGTTGTTTGTGTTATGCATCCACTTCACATGATCATCCAAATAAATTCGCACATAGAGCTAGACGTTGCATCTTTGTGGGGTACCCTGCTGGTCAAAAAGCCTTTAAACTATATGACATTGATCATCATAAATTTCTAGTTAGTCGAGATGTTATCTTTCATGAAACAATATTTCCATTCAAGAATAGTAAGGCTTTGCATGATTTACACATGGAACGACACCCTCTTCCTCTACCCATTTGTGATCAAGAACCCCTAAATTCAACCAACCCCACACCTCCTAGAAACACTTCTCCACTCCCTCCTCCTGCAGAACCCAATGATAATGAACCCACACATACTGTTGAACCCTTGAATCCCTCCCTGCAGGTGACCACCCTTGAACCCACACATGCGGTTGACACTCCTACAGTGACTACCCTTGCACCAAGACACTCCGAACGTCTCAAAAAGCCTCCAGCGCACCTTGCTGATTACGTGTGCAATATGGCCTCCGCTCAATCTTCTTCCTCGTCTCCAGGTATGCAATATCCTATCTCACACTCTCTTTGCTCAAATCCTTACTCAAATAACCATCTCCATTTCATTAATTCTATTATCAAGCACATTGAACCCACCTCATATACTGTTGCCCGTAAAGATCCCCATTGGAGACAGGCTATGGAGGACGAACTAAAGGCATTAGAGGCTAACAATACCTGGACTTTAGAGTTTTTGCCTCCCGACAAAACAGCTATAGGCTGCAAATGGGTGTATCGTATCAAATATAAATCTGATGGCTCCATTGACCGGTATAAAGCGCGTTTGGTTGCTAAAGGT